TCAGCGTCTTGTTCGAGAAATCGCTCAGGATTTCAAGACCGACTTGCGCTTTCAAAGCTCAGCCGTGCTGGCTCTTCAAGAGGCTAGCGAAGCCTACCTGGTCGGTCTTTTCGAGGACACCAACCTTTGCGCCATTCACGCTAAACGTGTCACCATCATGCCTAAAGATATCCAGTTGGCTCGTAGGATCCGGGGCGAACGTGCATAACAGCTCAGCTCGGTTCTGACAATCTCACATTACAAACGGCTCCTTTAGGAGCCACCACCTGACAATAAAAGTTAATGGCCAATAAACTACTTCTTACCTTGTCTCTACTTATTTCTTTATTAGTTACTAGTGAAATGAGACAGAAATAATTCTCATACTCCACGCCGTTACAAAGTTTTTTTCGCGATAAGGACACAGTAGAGTACTAGTATCCCTAAGCTTACAAAAAAAATTAGTGATTGCGCCCAACAACTCCTTATTCGTTCAGTCTATCTCTCTGCCTGTCTTCCTATGTTGACGTTTACAATCCATCTCATTTTCAAAGAACTTAGCAAACATCTTAGAGGTAACAGATCTATCGCGATCAGTAGTAACTGATCCCTCTGCGGTCCGCTATAACAACTTAAGAAAAGAGTTGCGCAAGTAACCAACATTAGCTATCGCTGTGGAGACTATAACGAGACATGTCTGTCAAAAGCACCCAGAAGAAAGCTTCTAAACAGCCGGCCGAACACCCTAAGTATGCAGAAATGATCATACAAGCCCTTCACGCCCTGAAAGATCGTAATGGTTCTTCACGTCAGGCTGTCGACAAGTACGTTAAGAACCATTTCAAAGTGGGAGACAAAGCAAGTCATTTTATTAAAATGGCTCTTAAGAAGGCGTGGAGAATGGTCAATTTATCAACACCAAAGGGTCCGGAGCTTCAGGTTCTTTCAAGGTCAACAAAAAGTAAAAGCAAAAGGCAGCCAAAGACCTGGCGAAGAAGACCAAAACCGCCGATCCAGCCAACAAACCAAAAATAAAGAAGGTCGCCGCGAAAGAAAAAAAGACCGCCCGCAAACCAACCGAGAAAACCAAGAAATCGCCGGGTAAGAAAGTTTCCAGCAGCAAGAAGAAGACACCTCTCGTGCCAAAAAGACTGCCACAAAAAGCCGTTGCCTAAGAAAGCGCGAAAAGCAAAGCCTCGGTTAAAAAATCAGCCAACAAGAAAATCAGTGGCAAGTAAAACTCGCCCACTTATTCAACTACCGGCTCCTTTAGGAGCCACCAAATAAAGAAAAGTCATCACCAATATCACCTCTAGTATGTTGACCTTAGGTCACCTTCACCTATAGCACAGTATTTATTTCTCCTTTGCCGAAACTGATTTCGTTTTTGTTAAGCAGAAGGTTACTTGAACCGCGGCTTAGAGACTTAAAAAGAGTAAACAAAAGCCACTCCATAAGATCAGATCAGATCAGATCAGATAAGATAAATACTTTTTATTCGAAGTGGTCAGTACATGCACCTTGGTCAAGAAACTGGTTATCAGGTACCCGGGTAATGAAAACTACCGTAAACGTCAATATTCAATAGTAAGAATCCCTCCCGCTTAACTGATTTGAAGTATTAAAACCCTTACATCCCGGAAAATATATATTTGCAGCCTGGTAAACCGTTTTCTTGTTCTCAAGTGCAGTACCGAAATGACCTGTTCATGCCTGTAACACTTTTAAGTAACGTTGTTTTACGAACTACTTCAGTTGATTCTCTGGCGTGGTGTAGTGGTCATCGCGCTGGGAAGGAGATCGTGCGGAAACTGTTGGGTTCGGTGCGTGTTGTCAACCAGCAATCGTTTATTTATTTTTTTTTTTTTTCTTCTTTTCTCTTTGCTTACATAAAAATCATCTTTTAAAACCTTTATCTGTGTGTTTTTATAAAAAAAAGTAAAGTTGAACAGGTAAATAGAGGAATGATTTGTTCGTTCCTTGACATTTTTAATGGGAACAAGTGTGCGAAGAGTTTCAGGGTTTATAATGACGATTGAAAACTCTAAGAAACTGTGTTGATCATTGCTTTTTTTTGACATTTGGTGGCTCCTAAAAAGAGCCGTTGTTTAGATCTGGTATTGAAGAATGGACTTCACTTGCTACTAGTGTACTTCGTGACGGCCTTGGTACCCTCACTGACTGCGTGCTTTGCGAGTTCTCCTGGAAGGAGCAGTCTGATGGCTGTGTCTGAATCTCGCGGGAGCTGATAGTGGACTTCTTGTTGTAGTGGGCTAGACGGGAGGATTCTGTAGCAATGCGCTCAAAGATATCGTTCACGAAAGAGTTCATGATACCCATTGCTTTGCTGGAGATTCCGGTGTCAGGATGTACCTGCTTCAACACTTTGTAGATGTAGATCGCATAACTCTCCTTCCGTTTCGATCGCCGTTTTTTTTCGTACTGTCGCCCGACGTGGATTTTGCCTTACCGCCGCTCTTCTTCTCTCCCTTTTTAGCTGCAATCGGTTTAGGTGCCATGGTAAAGAAAGATATCTCTGCCTTTTCGAAATAGAGTTTGGTAATTCGGGATATCACAGTTTCTATTTATGTTGCCAAATTCAATAGGATCAATTAATATGCGGATCGCAAGTTCTCGTCGGTGATTGGTGTTTTTTTTTTTTTCTCGGTGTAAACAATGGAGCGTGCCGCCAATCGACACAAAGAGAACAATTGCAAGGCTAGAATTTCTTTTATGAGCCAATGTAAGACTTTTGATTGGTGCAATCTGATCCACGAAACGCAGTCCGCGCGTGATAAATTATGGCGGCCGAAGTCATGTCTTGGAAAACAGTCTCCTGAAACTTAAACTGAAACTTAAGATACGAGTTACTCGACAAAATGACCGGACGAGGAAAAGGTAAAGCCCAGGGCACCAAGTCAAAGACTCGTTCTTCCAGGGCAGGTCTACAGTTTCCTGTTGGTCGCATCCATCGCCTTCTTCGTAAAGGCAACTACGCTGAACGCGTCGGGCCGGTGCTCCCGTGTACTTGGCTGCCGTACTTGGTATCTGAGTGCTGAGATCCTCGAGTTAGCAGGAAACGCAGCACGCGACAACAAAAGTCAAGAATCATTCCTCGTCACCTCCAGTTGGCTGTGCGAAATGACGAAGAATTAAACAAACTCCTTGCCGGTGTCACCATCGCTCAAGGCGGTGTTCTTCCCAACATTCAGGCAGTATTACTACCTAAAAAGACAGAGAAGAAACAACACTAAGCGACGGCAACAACCATAAATACAAACGGCTCTTTTAGGAGCCACCAAGTCTAGAATAAAGTCATGACCAATCACGATATAAATTTGTAATCTACCCCCCAAATAGTATTCGCCGTCTAAGTTTGGGGTTAATAACTCGATCGATACTTAGCCACAAATAATTATGTCTCGCGGAAACTCGCTATTTCTATTTGTTTTGCATGGTTCCATGTTGCTAGTTTTGTTCATAAATGCGTATACCAAAGCATATTTAGCGCTATTTCGGCTATCGCATGTAAGAAACAAACAACAGCAACCACAGCATTAACTTGAAAACTGAAACCAGTCTTAGGTCAGTTTAGCTCGGTGTAACATGAATTTAAAGACTGATGTGATTATATCATGAAAGTTGAAATTGCGTTTGCTTTCTATGCAGGTTTCATTCGCGCTGTTTCCAACAGGTTTTTATACGAACTTCGAGGTACACCAAGCGACAATCGAACAAACAACTTTCTGCTTTTTTTTAAACAGTACACAATTAATCGCATTCCTACCAACCGGGAACAAACATTGCTGCTACTACTGAGCTTGAAATGTTGTTTTCTTTGCCTAAAAATTACAAAGAGATCGTCGTGATTTCCTTCGGTACACAAGCTGTTTACGTAAAATAAACTAACACAGTTATAAACCGTCGTCGGTAACGACACAAACCAGCTTGCTCTCTTAATTCTGCCACAACAACAACGTACAACAACAGTTTATTCACTAACTAATTAAAGACAAAAGCTTTACAGTATTGTATGCCCCGCAAAAGAGCTATGAGGCTAATCTAGACGGGAAAAAAATAATTTCCCTGTATAAGTAACGACTGCGCTGCTGTAAAGTCACTAAAAAAAAAAAAAACTGGCGTGGACGCACCCAGTAAATAAAGCGCTGAATCGATTTCAGGTGTATGTTGACTTGTTGATATGTATATAAACCTTCAGCAATGATCGTAATGAAAACAAATTCTCTTATCACGTATTGGTCAGAGCTTTTCATACATTTGTTGGCTCCTAAAAAAGAGCCGTTGGTTTAAGTGTTGATCAGGGATTACAGTGTATTCTAACCCCCAAAACCGTACAGAGTACGTCCTTGTCGTTTCAGAGCGTATACTACGTCCATGGCTGTAACGGTCTTACGCTTGGCGTGCTCGGTGTAGGTCACGGCATCGCGGATAACGTTCTCAAGGAAAACTTTCAGAACACCGCGTGTCTCCTCGTAGATCAGTCAGAAATTCGCTTTACACCCCCACGGCGAGCGAGACGACGGATCGCTGGCTTGGTAATTCCTTGGATATTATCGCGTAGAATCTTACGATGACGCTTAGCACCACCTTTGCCCAAGCCTTTACCTCCTTTGCCGCGACCGGACATTCTCGGTTGTCTGAATTATCGTCAAGGTTTAAAAAGGGAAAGGTCTCGCTCTATGTTAAATTACTGCAGAACAGAAATTACTTTTCAATCTATACCCTTCAATCTGACCTCTCGGGAAACATTATTTCTTGTATTTACATAGATTTGTTCTTAGTAAAAGGACAACAAAAGAATATTATAATTTTCTTTCGCCCCACTGTCTATTGTAAGGCATGCAAATCAAAGCAGGGTGTCTCGAAGCCGAACCAATCAGAAATGCATAAATCCTTAAATATCCAATCGGCTTGCGACAGCCTCCTGATAAATCGCGGCCATAAAAATTGCCCAGCTTTCACATAGAGCCTTTAATCTTCTGAACATCAGTTTCACAGTCATGGCCCGAACCAAGCAAACAGCGAGAAAGTCCACCGGAGGAAAAGCGCCTCGTAAACAGCTGGCTACTAAGGCAGCTCGAAAGAGCGCTCCTGCTACTGGTGGCGTGAAAAAAACCGCACCGTTACAGGCCAGGAACAGTGGCCCTCAGAGAGATCCGTCGTTATCAGAAGTCCACCGAGTTGCTGATTCGCAAGTTACCGTTTCAGCGTCTTGTTCGAGAAATCGCTCAGGATTTCAAGACCGACTTGCGCTTTCAAAGCTCAGCCGTGCTGGCTCTTCAAGAGGCTAGCGAAGCCTACCTGGTCGGTCTTTTCGAGGACACCAACCTTTGCGCCATTCACGCTAAACGTGTCACCATCATGCCTAAAGATATCCAGTTGGCTCGTAGGATCCGGGGCGAACGTGCATAACAGCTCAGCTCGGTTCTGACAATCTCACATTACAAACGGCTCCTTTAGGAGCCACCACCTGACAATAAAAGTTAATGGCCAATAAACTACTTCTTACCTTGTCTCTACTTATTTCTTTATTAGTTACTAGTGAAATGAGACAGAAATAATTCTCATACTCCACGCCGTTACAAGTTTTTCGCGATAAGGACACAGTAGAGTACTAGTACCTCTAAGCTTACCAAAAAATTGTGAATGACGATTCAGAGATGTGTGACAGTATTTCTCAAATTGGCCATGTTTTGGTTTTTATAGGGTTAAGAGAGAATATTACCGTAAGGGCTCCAAATTGTTGCTGTGATTATTTGACGCATAAGACTAGCTTAAAACGCTAAATATGAAGCGTGTTAGAGTATTTTGCAAAATAACCATCGTTTAGATCGGAATGGGATCAAGTGAGAATTACACCGTAAAAGAGACAAAGTGTCGCTTACATGATCAACACCGTAAGTCTAGCTAAGAACTATCATTTAGAAGCGTGTGACAGTAATTTGCAAATTGAGCATCTTTTGGGTCGTAATAGGCTTTACTGAGTGCTTAATACTAAGACCTGGAAAAAGTTGCGGTGATGATGAGAACCACAAGACTAGCTGAAAACGGTAAATTTGAGGCGTGTGACCGTATTTTGTAGATTGGTCATAACTTGCGTCGTTGTGGGAAAAAATGAGAATTGTACCGTGAAAGCTCAGAAATGTCGCTTACATGATAAGAACCATAAGACAAGCTGAAAACGATGGTCTTTAGGCGTGTGCCAGTATTAGGAAATTTTCCATCTTTTAGGTCGTAACGGGGTTAAGAGAGGATTTTACCGTGAGAACTTCAAAATGTCACTCTGATGATAAGACTAGCTGATAACAATGAATTAAAGGCGTTTAACAGCATCTTTGAAAATGGGCATCGTTAAGGTCGTAATGTGGTTACGTGAGAATTTCACTACAACAGGCTTTAAATGTCGGTGTAATAAAAGGCATCGTAAAATTATCTAAAAACGATGATTTTAAGGCGTTTGAGAGTATTTTGCAAATTGGTCGTCTTGCTGGTCGTAGTGGCGTTTACTGAGTATTTGATACCAAAAGCTCTAAAATGACGCTCTAATGGTAAAAACAATGAGACTAGCTGAAAATGATAAATTTGAGGCGTATGACAGTATTTCGAAAATCAACAGTGTTTTGAAAGTCAAGTGAGAGTTATACCGGAAGAGCTTCAAAATGGCGCTTACATAAAACGCACCATAAGAAGAAGCTGTGAATGATGATTCAGAGATGTGTGAAGGTATTTCTCAAATTGGCCATGTTTTGGGTCTTATAGGGTTAAGAGAGAATTTTACCGTAAGAGCTCCAAATTGTTGCTGCGATGATAAGCACCATAGGACTCGTTTAAAACGCTCAACTAGAGGCGTGTCAGAACATTTTGCAAAATAACCATCTTTTAGATCGAAATGAGATCAAGTGAGAATTACACCGTAAGAGATCCAAAGTATCGCTTACATGGTCAGCACCATAAGTCTTGCTGAGAACTATCAATTAGAGGCTTGTGACAGTATTTTCTAAATTAAGCATTTTTTGGCTCGTAAATAGGGTTTATTGAATATTTAATAGTAAGACCTATAAAATGTCGACGTGATGATAACAACCATAAGACTAGATAAAAACAGTAAATTTGAGGCGTCATATACTACTTTTTAAATTTGCCATCTTTTGGGTGGTAATGGGGTAAAAAGAGAATTTTAACGAAATAGCTTTAAAATGTCGCTCTGAAGATAAGCACCCTAATACTATGTGAAAACAATGAATCAGAAGCGTTTAAGAGTATTTTTGAAAATGGGCTTTGTTAAGGTCGTAAGGTGGTTAAGTAAGAATTTCGCTGCAACAGCCTTGAAATTTCGGTGTAATAAACGGCATCGTAAGATTAGCTAAAATAATAATTCTAAGGTGTCTGAGAGTATATTGCAAATTGGTCGTCTTGCTGGTCGTAATGGCGATGACTGGGTATTTAATAACAAAAACTCTGAAATGGCGTTTTAATGATAAGAATAATGAAACTAGCAAAAAATGATAAATTTGACACGTATGACAGTATTTCGAAAATAAAAAGTAGTTTGAAAATCAACTGAGAGTTACACCGGATGAGCTCCAAATTGTCGCATACATAAAACGCACCATAAGAAAAGCTGTGAATGGTGATTAAGAGGTCTGTGACAGTATTTCTCAAATTGGCCATCTTTTTGGTCATATGGGTCAAGGGGGAATTTTACCGTGAGAGTTCCAAATTGTTGCTGTTATGATTTGACCCACAAGACTAGCTTAAAACGCTAAATAAGAGGCGTGTGAGAGTATTTTGCAAAATAACCACCTTTTAGATCGGAATAGGATCAAGTGAGAGACAAAGTGTCGCTTACATGATCAACACCGTAAGTCTAGCTAAGAACTATCATTTAGAAGCGTGTGACAGTAATTTGCAAATTGAGCATCTTTTGGGTCGTAATAGGCTTTACTCAGTACTTAATATTAAGACCTGGAAAAAGTTGCGGTGATGTTGAGAACCACAAGACTAGCTGAAAACAGTAAATTTGAGGCGTGTGAAAGTATTTTGTAGATTGGTCAAAATTTGCGTCGTTGTGGGAAAAAATGAGAATTGTACCGTGAAAGCTCAGAAATGTCGCTTACATGATAAGAACCATAAGACAAGCTGAAAACAATGGTTTTTAGGCGTGTGCCAGTATAAGGAAATTTTCCATCTTTTAGATCGTAATGGGGTTAAGAGAGGATTTTACCGTGAGAACTTCAAAATGTCACTCTGATGATAAGACTAGCTAATAACAATGAATTAAAGGCGTCTAACAGTATCTTTGAAAATGGGCATCGTTAAGGTCGTAATGTGGTTACGTGAGAATTGCACTACGACAACCTTTAAATGTCGGTGTAATAAGAGGCATTGTAAGATTATCTAAAAACGATGATTTTAAGGCGTTTGAGAGTGTTTTGCAAATTGGTCGTCTTGCTGGTCGTATTGGCGTTTACTGAGTATTTCATACCAAAAACTCTGAAATGGCGTTTTAATAATAAGAATAATGAAACTAGCTAAAAATGATAAATTTGTGACGTATGACAGTATTTCGAAAATAAAAAGTATTTTAAAAATCAACTGAGAGTTACACCGGATGAGCTCCAAATTGTCGCATACATAAAACGCACCATAAGAAAAGCTGTGAATGGTGATTAAGAGGTCTGTGATAGTATTTCTCAAATTGGCCATCTTTTTGGTCATATGGGTCAAGGGGGAATTTTACCGTAAGAGCTCCAAATTGTTGCTGTGATGATTTGACCCATAAGACTAGCTTAAAACGCTAAATAAGAGGCGTGTGAGAGTATTTTGCAAAATAACCATCTCTCAGATCGGAATAGGATCAAGTGAAAATTACACGGTAAAAGAGACAAAGTGTTGCTTACATGATCAACACCGTAAGTCTAGCTAAGAACTATCATTTAGAAGCGTGTGACAGTAATTTGCAAATTGAGCATTTTTTGGGTCGTAATAGGCTTTACTGAGTACTTAATACTAAGACCTGGAAAAAGTTGCGGTGATAATGAGAACCACAAGACTAGCTGAAAACAGTACATTTGAGGCGTGTGACAGTATTTTGTAGATTGCTCATAATTTGCGTCGTTATGGGAAAAAAATGAGAATTGTACCGTCAAAGCTCAGAATTGTCGCTTACATGATAAGAACCAAAAGACTAGCTGAAACCGATGGTTTCTAGGCGTGTGCCAGTATTAGGAAATTTTCCATCTTTTAGGTCGTAATGGGGTTAAGAAAGGATTTTACCGTAAGAACTTCAAAATGTCACTCTGATGATAAGACTACCTGATAACAATGAATTAAAGGCGTTTAACAGTATCTTTGAAAATGGCAATCGTTAAGGTCGTAATGTGGTTACGTGACAATTGCACTAAGACAGCCTTTAAATGTCGGTGTAATAAAAGGAATTGTAAGATGATCTAAAAACGATGATTTTAAGGCGTTTGAGAGTGTTTTGCAAATTGGTCGTCTTGCTGGTCGTAGTGGCGTTTACTGAGTATTTGATACCAAAAGCTCTAAAATGACGCTGTAATGGTAAGAACAATGAAACTAGCTGAAAATGATAAATTTGAGGCGTATGACAGTATTTCGAAAATCAATAGTATTTTAAAAATCAAGTAAGAGTTATACCGGAAGAGCTTAAATATGGCGCTTACATAAAACGCACCATAAGAAAAGCTGTGAATGATGAATCAGAGATGTGTGACAGTATTTCTCAAATTGGCCATGTTTTGGGTCTTATAGGGTTAAGAGAGAATTTTACCGTAAGAGCTCCAAATTGTTGCTGGGATGATAAGCACCATAGGGCTCGCTTAAAACGATCAATTAGAGACGTCTCAGAACATTTTACAAAATATCCATCTTTTAGATCGGAATGAGATTAAATAAGAATTACACCGTAAGAGATCCAAAGTGTCGCTTACATGGTCAGCACCATAAGTCTTGTTGAGAACTATCAATTAGAGACGTGTGACAGTATTTTCTAAATTAAGCATTTTTTGGCTCGTAAAAGGGTTTACTGAATATTTCAAAGTAAGACCTATAAAGTGTCGACGTCATGATAACAACCATAAGACTAGATAAAAACAGTAAATTTGAGGCGTCATATACTACTTTTGAAATTTGCTATCTTTTGGGTTGTAATGGGGGTAACGGAGAATTTTAACGTAATAGCTTTAAAATGTCGCTCTGATAATAAGCACCCCAAGACTAGGTGAAAACAATGAATCAGAACCGTTTGAGAGTATTTTTAAAATGGGTTTCGTTCAGGTCGTAAGCTGGTTACGTGAGAATTTTGCTACAACAGCCTTGAAATGTCGGTGTAATAAAAGGCGTCGTAAGGTTATATGCAAACGATGATTTTAAGGCGTTTGAGAGTATTT